TTTTTCACTACGAATCGTCAGTTACGATAAAACAGGTGCACTCTCGGTGCTCTTTCAATTATCGCGTCGCCGTCGCGAAGTGGCACTCGCGCGGGTCTCTATACGCGAAAAAAAAGGAGGAAAGGAAACGTAAACAGATTCGCGCAGGTACGAAACGGTAGGACGCGGTTTCTGCCGGCAGCCGAGCGACATTTCTGACGGCATTCTACTCGTTTCCGTGCCCGGCATTCTACCCGTTTCCCGCGGCCGCGGATTCCGTATTTACTCCGCGCTTTCGCGAAAATGAGAGGAGAAAAAGGGGGAGAGAAGAAAAAAAGGAGGAAAAGAGAGAAAGAGAGGGAAGGCGCACGCTCGCTCTTGTGCAAGCTTCGCCGCCGGGTGAAAGTCTGTTTGCAGACTGCGAGAGAGCACGTCGCCGGACCGCTCTCGAGATGGATAAGGATCTTGAGGATCGATCGGCGCTCGCCCGTCGCTCTCGTGGGAAATTTATCGGTCGATCACGTCGGTCCAGCCTTTTCCCCATATTGTCCTCGCGGAAGCGAGCCGCGATTGGTAGAGGAAAGTCCTCTATTACGAGATAGGCTCCCAATATGAGATAGCGGGGTCTCTGCCAAGTTAACAGACCTCATCCGGTTGGTTCCACCATGAATTTATTGCCCTTGTAGTGAAATTTGCTTGGGACAATTCATTAATTAGACACTAACGTCCTGTCATAGGCGCTCTTAATCCTTTACTCCTTTGTGTTTATTATACAAGGTGTCCCAAGAGGAAAGGTCAATATTCTGGGAGGTGATAGTATCGGTCATTTTAGGCAAAAATGTTCATATGAATATATGTCCCATTCCCCACTGTTTCCGAGATAGAACTACTCGAATGTCTCGTGTATTTACTTTTTTCTGTACACTTCACCCTTTATCCAACCTCATAAACGTCTGTAGGAATTTACTCTTATAAGCCTGTCCACCGTTGTGCTGATAACATTGTAGAAATGTTCCAAATGCCTCGCATATTCACGCATGTCGAATATGCAGATACGCTGTATGGTTACGGTCTCTGTGATGGTAGTGCTACTGCTGCTGTTGAAGAATACCGTCGACGCTTTCCTGCACGCAGAATTCCGAATTGTAAAGTCTTTCCAAGGTTTTCAATACATTGCGTGAAAATGGAATGCTTCCCAGTGTTCATGTCGAGGTTCATGTTTTATCTGAATGAGGACGTCTACAAAATGTGCTCTATCTCAGAAACAGTGGGGAATGGGACATATATTAATATGAACATTTTTGCTTAAAATGGCCGATACTATCACCTCCCAGAATATTGACCTTTCCTCCTGGGACACCCTGTATATGGACCTTATAAATTTTATTAAATTTTCACTGCTCATCCTCGCTAACAATACACGTACTATTTAAATTTCAACCTAACAGCCTTTCCCATTTCTGATGTTCCGACTTGAATCTACGTCTCTGTGCAATCTTATCAGGCCATGGTCTCTCAACACAACCTCTATATAAGGCACGTTCCATATACACTGTACTCAAACTCCATTTCTATAACATAGTATCAAGAACGTCTAACATTCGGATATCTTTTAAAAATCAGACTGAAACTACAGAATGACATCAATTATTACTTTTAATCATCAACGTGTATTTTTATTTAATTGACTTATGTTCTATTATGTTACATTTTATTTATTTGCGCTGAAGATGTCCCCTAAAAAAGGAGCGAAATTAAATAAATTAAATAAAACGTACGAATTTAATTTATTATGTTATTGTCTCAACACTCGCATCTAATTTTATATTTAATTTCTAAACATCACTTGCGCGCGACCACCTGCGCCTGACTCTCGTAGTTTTTTTATTATATTTAAATTTTATTAATAGGAAAATTCATTGTTATATCGTGTAATTATTGCGAGAAGAGATTTGTCATTGAAGTTAGGCATTGGAAACCTGCTGTCTCACATCAGAAGTCTATCTCATAATACGGGACTGTTCTCTACTAGTTCGTCAGATCGGACGGATCTTTCGGGGATCGCTACGTCCCACGAGATTACGAGCGACGTCCGCGAGTCGCGCGCGAATGCGTCGCGTGCGATCGCGACGCACTTGTCTTCGTGATTTTCTGCGTCAGCCAGGTATATCGGCATCGAGAAATTAGGGATGAGTCACGCCCGCGGCTGAACTAGCTTCCGTGCGGGACGAGTACCGGGTTGATCGGTACTTCCGCGAGATTACGAGCGATACCGATTCTCGCAAATAATTCGCGGCGCGGCTTTAACGAGCCCCGTTACCGCACACGACGGCGGTTCGTTATGGGACAGGGACAATGCGGGGGACACTTTGAGGAACGCGCATTCCTGCGATGCCTGCGCCGCGCCGATCCGGCGTTACGTAAGGATCAACACCGGCGTGCACGTAAAGATTACGTCGCGTCGCGAAAGCTTGCTGAAACAAAAGTCGACGGTTAGGTAAAGCCGGCTCGGAATTGGCGATTCCGATCACGTCCCGCGCGGTGGTTAACGCGATATCATCGCCCTACGCGTGGACCATTGCTCACCCGTCATATAACCGCGGAATGTCGTTAATATTTGTTAATTAAATCTCCGCGGGATTGGAAACGAATTGTGCTCAATCCGGCATGATCTTTGGGAAATTCATTTCTGCGTGATCGGAAATTTTAACTTGCAAGAAGGATCTTCGGAAATTTTTTAGAATGTATGAAATTTCTTGACTAGAAACGTGTGCGAAATTACCGAGGATTCTTAGAAAACAAGTTTTCGCGACGCGATATTCAAGAATCTTCGGGAACATAGAAATCGCTGAGGAGTTTTACGATTTATCTAAAATTGACTCAAAGGGTTGATGGTTTTGAAACATTTACGAGTTCGCGAAGAAAGCTGGATAATCCTCGAAAGGAATCGCAAATTTTTAAATCTGCCCCAAAAATATAATCTTTCTTTCGTATCTCATCAGTCTGTTCCTGATAGCTGGTTTTTGCACTTTTTCTCCCATTTCCTCTCTTCCTCTCCGACATTTAACCGTACGCCTATTTCACTTTAAGGAAAACGCAATGTGGCGCAGCTACAAAGAATAGGCTTAAGCATCAGATTTAAAATTGAGCATTCTCGCAGCGGGACGTTCCGAAGTTACTTTTCCCTCGCAGTCCCAAGAACGGGCACAAGAAGCATTGAATTAAACAAATGGATAAATAAATCGAAAGGAGAGTACAGTGAAAGGGGAAGAGGGGGAGAGGGAGAGAAGGAGAGAAAGAAAGACGGCGAGGAGGCAGCTCGCAATTTATATCTACGCAACCAGCGGCGGACGCGTTGCGAACACTTGAAGCACCACGGTGTCTGCCATCGGATTGGCCGCCTTCGGGCGCCTTATAGGGCCGCGCACATGCGCGCGGGCGCGCTGTGCGCCTTGCGACATCCATCAGTGGCGACCGGCTACCATCGCCGGTGTTGCTACTCTTTCTCTCCGCGCGTTTCTTCCCTCTGGTGACAGCGGCGGTTGCAACCCGTCGTCACTTCACCTCCATTCCATTCGCGAGCTCCGTCCGATCGGTCCTCCTTGTCCTCGCCGCGTCGCTTCGTCCTTTGTCCTTTTACCTCTCTCGGCCTCCCTCTTCGTTCTCCAGTCCTGTTGGTCCCTTTAATCCGTTGATCCTCCTCGCCTTTCCAGCCTTCCTAATTGTTTTAATATTTTTGCCCTCTCGACTGTCTTATTTTTATGATGCCGCGGTCCTTCCATTAAATTTTCACGTCCCTCTCTCTCGTTCTCATTTGCATCTCGTTCTACTTGTCGTTTCTCTCTTTCCGACTTCAGCAGTATTCTCTATATATTCATTTCTATATTTTGGGATTTCCATCTCCAGATCTGTCCGATTCTCTCTCTAATATTTTTCATCCTAATGTTCTCGTTACTGATAATCCTTTGTCTATCATAATCTTCCATTGACTGCATTTTAATTTCATGATAATTTTCTAAATTGCACATCTCGATTGCTTAAAGGGAGTCACAAGGCGCTTGATAGCAATACTGCTATTTTTATTCGCAAACTCTCGATAGAGGATATTACATATAGGAGGGACTTCTTGCTGGCTCTCAATTTCAAGAAAAATGACAAGTCATGATTAATGCGGATTTTTCGTCGAATACAACGTAAGAAATGTCTCGTACTTGCGTCATACTTAGATTACCGGCTTCGCCTCTCGCATGACACAAAACACACACGGACACCATCGATTCGATGCGCCAACTAAAGTGTCGATACATCGATTTGTTCCAGCAGCCGCCCAGCTCGCAGGAGCGTGGCAGCGGCTTGGCTGTGGGGCGCCAGGGGGGACCCGGCAGCACGGGGGGGCCCGGCGTGGTGGACCAGGCGCGGGATCTGAGTCCCTGCCTTCCCGCGTCGATGGGCGATGCTGCGCGACCCACCACTCTGCCGTGCAGTCCTCCTGCCGCCCATCACCACGGGTCCCATCATACGCCCCTGCATCAGACCCACTGCGGCACCAATAACAACTGTTACGACGGCTCGACCACCCCTTATGAGTCGAGGGACTACGACTCGCCCGGAGGTACGATTATCTCTTACCTGTCGAAGGGGTTGGCATCACAGACTTCTGTATACTACTAGACTGCTACCGTCGAGCTGAAAAGTGAGGCGAGAGTTCCGCCGTGTCTTGTTAGGTAAATAAGTATTATGTCAGTGACACACCAATCCACACGCATAGGAAAATCCCCTACTATGAGATAGGCACCTAATATGGGATAGCGGAGTTTCTGCTAAATTAACAGGCATCGTCTGTTGTTTCCGCCATGGATTTATTACCCTTGGGGTGAAATCTGTTTAGTGGAAAATTGATGGTTAGGTCGTGTAATCGTTGCGAAGAAAGATTTATGATTGAATTTGGACGTTGAAAACCTGCTATCTCGTAATAGAGGACTGCCCTCTACTTTATTTACCTAACAAGACGTGGCGGAACTCTCGCCTCACTTTTCAGCTTGAAGGTAGCAGTCTAGTGGTATATACAAGTCTGTGGTAGGCACGCAGATGTCGAGATGCATTAGAGATAGAGAAGAATTGATTCGAGAGGCTCGATCAATGGAATTATCCATTTTTCCTAACGTAGTCTCTAAGGGTATCAGGTTTAGTTAATCTACTGAAATAAGCCAATCACGCCAGCGACGAGACACAAGTTAATGACGAGTTTTCTTCCGCCCCTCAGCGGGTGGACAGGAGTACCGGGGCAGCGGTGGCAACTTCGAGAACGCCAATGACCTGAGCATGCCGTCGCAGACCGCGCACCACCACCACCATCACCACCATCATCACCACCATCATCCCCATCTGCAGACGCATTCCCAGGAGCAGCAAACCACGACGGAGCACTTGCACGCCATCCCGAAGCTGGAACCGCCGCCCACACCGCCCGCGCAATCCGAGGACGTTCCAGGGAACGTGGTCTGCGCGGGATGCGGCCTCAAGATATCGGACAGGTTCTACCTCCAGGCCGTCGACAAGAGGTGGCATGCCGCGTGCCTGCAGTGCTCGCACTGTCGCCAGGGTCTCGACGGGGAGGTCACCTGTTTCAGCAGAGACGGGAACATCTACTGCAAGAAGGACTACTATCGGTAAGCGTACATTTCGATTTGCATTAACAATCCGGACGGGGTAGACCTACCTTAGCGCGATTAGGCTCTCTTGTCCGCGACGTCGAAGAAGCGAGAGAGATTTTAATAATCTCGAGGCGAGCCGTGGGCGAAGATTGGCGCGCACCGACGCGATGTTTGATAATAAAATAAAAACGCGCGAAAAAGGAGGAAGACGCGCGAATCGGCGACTTGAACGCTAGAGGAAGATACGAAGTCGCTATTTAACGCGCTCGCAATTGCACTTGAGGCTCGAAGAGGCCCCCTCTCGACTTGAGGATCGCTGAATACCTTCGCGTGAGAGAGGGCCGGCACTCGAGGAGAGAATCTTGATTTCTCCGACGTGGACGATCTTATCGATGTCCGCGACTGCCGAGCGATTTCGTCCTATTTTCGATGGGACGAGGCCGCGACTCTCGTTACGAAGTCGCCGAGAATAGCCGCGCCGCTCACGCGAGCAAGTCAAGCGCGAAGTAATTTCTGTCGATTTGAAGAGCCCCGCGCTGAAGAATAAAAAAAAAAAGAGGAGTCGCGTCGCCCGTTGCGTAACTGCCTGTTTCTCCGCGAGCGCGCACCTGTGATTTCGGTCGTTACGAATGCCCGCAACTGCCCACAAATTGCACCGGCGGTGCCGCATTACGGAGGATAATGCGGAGTGCAATTTTTGAGCGAGTTCCTCCTCGAGGCTGTCTCGCTCCGGGAAATACGCGACTTCGTTCTCGCGGCTTCGGGGTTCCGGGACCCCCCGCGGAAACGTCATTGTTACGACAGAGGAGTGTCTGTAAAATAAAAATTCAGTCCACGAGTCGTATTATCTATTTACATGCATCTTCCAGCAAGCAGATTAACTTGAATCTCGGTTTAGCTTACTTTTCCTCTGTTTCTCGTTTGAAGAATTAACCCCGGTTTTCACCACCGTCGTTTAACTTTGATCTTAAAATTAGTTGAATTCATCCTTCGTCTCTTCCTAACTGTTCCCTTGGAAAGAGACAAAGGATGAATTCAACTAATTGTGTAAGATTAACGGTTAAATGACGAGCATAAGAGAGGTAAAAAGTAAGTCAAGCCGAGATTAAAGTCACTGGACGTAAACGCCGAAGGTTCAACTTGCCTTTTGTAAGGATTGGACCTCGCAGTGAAAGTAACTTCCGCCAGTCAGTCAGTCCTATGAATTCGATAAACGAACTCCGGTTATAACGTATCGACGGCCACTCGACGACGCGTCGTTACGCGGGGCTCGAGACGTCGTGTTGGGAACCTGGCCGGGGCCTCACACGGTGTCGATTCGCGCACGCTGTCTCGCTCCGTAGGTACGGGGCCGGCCCCGTACGTATGCCGTGGTCCACGAACTAATGGTCACGACTCGACCATTTACCTCCGGCGGAGCGTCGATTGTTGATAAGTAAATCACCGCCGATCTACATTTCGCGAGCGGCGGACGTGTACGTACACGTGCATCGCCGTCACCCGGCTCGATGCGCTCGATTGCCGTTTTCGAGTGACCTCTCGGGCCACGCCGATTACCAGCAATTCATCAATCGTCGAGCTGCCGGCTCGCCCGCCGGGACACGCGTTTCTTTTGTCTAAGGGCCTGCGTCCACGATGCTAGAACTTGGTCCGAGTTCTAGTTTCGAGAAATGTGTAGCCAATCACCTTGCAGCTTTCATGGAATAGCTGCAAGCTGATTGACCACGCATTTCTCGGGATTAGAACTTGAACCAAGTTCTAGCAACGTGGACTCAGGCCTTAACGTAGACATTTTCTCTCGAGTCGCTCGCGGTACTTGCAAGAGGAGAAACAATCGAAGATAATGTTGTAAATCGATTAACTACATACTCTCGGTATTGAAGTCAACGAGTGACGGAAGGGAAAGGTGGGCTTTGAGAGCTAAGTGCAGGTAGTCGCGCTAGTTTTAACGTAATTAACAATTCAACGCAAAGTTATACAACGGATCTACTTTGAGCCGTAATCAGCGACGCAGCGGCAGATAAATTAAATAATCTCACGCTCTCTGACCAGCATCAGGTCTCCTATTAGATAACGTTATCGTCAGCTGATTAATTTGCAGTCTGCTTCTATGTTAACGTATCACGCTGCGAAACTTGGGATCTTTCGTGAGTTACGGGCGCTGAGATGTCTTCCCGCGTTATTCGGATTTAATTTCGGCGCGTCCGCCATTGCGGCGTCGTCACGCCACGAACTCATCAATTACGTGGCTTCATCGGTGTCTCCTTAATGTCTTATCGTCTTAAAATCGTCGCGAGCGAGCATAACTCGCCCGTCGGTTTCTGTCGCAGTTTCGGGAACTGCCTCTCCTCCCTGTCTCGCGCTGCGCCTCCAAAATCGCATTAGCCGATCTTAGAGGGTGAACCCGAGATCCCGGGATAAGCAGCTGGTACCGTCGTCGCGCGTGCTCCGACTTCGCGTTCGGGCGCAGGTAAAGGAAGAAGGACGAGCAGTCACATGCATGCACGCAGTTCGGGGAACTAAATTAGCCAGCGCTCGTCACTCGCGGTGATTCGGTTCGTTAGCTACCTACCTGATGTGATCTTAATAGCGTAATAGTTTAAATAAATATGTAATAAGATTTACTTTAACGCGTAGAGATTCGGGGGAGGCGTCGCGCCATATTCCCGAGGCCTCCTCCTTGACGCTTCGATCTCGTCAATCTCGCAACGATAGCTCACCTCGCTTCTCCAAGCCAGGTACGGCGTCTCCTCGCCGCTTGAGACCCCGGCCCTTTTGCTATCGCGAATTCGTGCGCTTCTTGTTTGGGAAGCACGACATCCCGCGGAGGAGGCGTGCACGCGTCGCGTCGCGTTCACACGTCGCGCACTCGTGCACGCAAGTTCCGCGGGCGAGCGCGCGAGTGCGTGCGGTGCCGCGCGGCGTCATATGTAGCCGAGGATGGCACCGAGGATGGAATAGCACAGACATCCCGTCACGACACGGTTTTAGCCCAAAGGCCTTATCTCGCGCCGCCTCGCATGCGCGTTCGCGACGACCGGCTGTTATTAGCCGGGAACGCGTTGCACGTCCGCGCGACGAGCGCTGCTCGATTCTGCCGTAACGTCCGTTCCAATGTTCTCGACAGGATTAATGAATATTCGTTATGTCCGTTCACGTTCTCAGAGAATGTCCTCAAAGGCGCTCTTTCTCGTTTATCCGGCGAAATTACTCGTACAATCGATAAGACTCCAAACAATAGAAACATCTCGAAGAAAAAGTGTGGACCTTTCTGAAGATCTGTGTCTACGATGCTAGAACTTCAAGTTGTAGTTTCGAGAAATGTGTAGCCAATCAACTTTACGGAATAGCTGCAAGTTGATTGGTGGACCAAGTTCTAGCATCGTGGACACAGGCCAAGGGGATGCTGAAGTGATACTGCACTTTTGTCACCTTTTGCTCCTATTTATGAAAACATTTGTGTAATATACAAATTATGTGGCTTTTGTGTACAGACCGACAGTGTCCCACTATTCGCACTAAATCAAAGAATAGCATAGTATCATTGAAATCAAGTTTAGAAGCCTAACAAAAAATCTATTCACTCGAATGCAACCTGTAACTTATTCGAGTGAACAGATTTCTTTTTTAACTTTTAAACTTAATTTCAATGATACCATGCTGTTCTTTGATTTAGTCCGAATAGTGGAACACTTTTGGTTTGTACGCACAAGCTTTATAATTCGTGTGTAACACAAATGTTTTCATGAATGGACAGTTTTAGGAGCAAAAGGTGCAAAAAGTGCAGAATCACTCCAGCATCCCAATGAGTCTTTATGATATTTTTGCACTCGTATTCGAAACATTGAAATAATTTATTATCTATTTACGCTGCCGAATTTTTTGTAGCAAATTTGGCAAGATAGCTTGCTGCATATTGTCGCCCCGATACTCCATTGTACATAACTACTTTGTCCTAAAGAACTCTCGGGACTTTGTCTTGAATCCTTTACGTTATAAAATCCCGAGGAGATAAGTGATATTAAACTTAAAATTTCGCCCAGTCTTCAAACGGACGGCCATTACGACCCACTGATTCTCCGATTGCCCCGAGGCGGTCGCAAGGATGGCCCTGCGTGACGACGGCTCTTAAGGCCTTAACGAGTCACTTTCCGGGAGAAGAATACGAATATCGCCGCGTTACATGTCGAAAGTACCTCGTCACCTTGCGTGTTACTTCGGCCCGCCCGGGTGGCTTCGTCGTAAAAATTGCTTGCCCGTAAAGAGATCGTTGCACGCCGAGGAAGTAAGAGCTTCCTGGACTGTTCCGTTCCTTTCTTCCTCCTCTTTCCCTTGTTTCTCCGCCGCTCGCTACCTTCCTTTTTTGTCCTCCCCTCTCGTACGCTTTTCTCGAGCGCGCCTTCGTCGCGCTTCGATCCGCGACGCTCGGCGAGTTGTACATTTGCTGCTAATCGAGGCGTGAATGCGAGAACGCAAAATTACAAAAATTCACCGTGAATTCAGGTGCGACACACGTCGAGAGTCGGAGTATGCAGGGATCTAGAATTTTTCAGAGAGTCAAAACGCGAGATATGTGTGAGGGTATCCCGAGTCGAAATTTTGGTGCTATTTTGACATTTTTAAGGATAATTTACACCTACTTACATAGCCGATCTATACACCTACATAGACCAGCAATTACCTACTTTGATGAGTATTTTTTACTCCTCCCTTGAATCTTTAATTCTCAAAATTTACTTTAGCTCCTACTTAAAAGGACCTACTTTAATACTAAATTGGCAAAAGTAGAAACTACCAGTTTTAAAGTAGGAGTAAATTTTGTACTTGCAGTTCGACCTCTTTTACTGTTAGGTCCTACTATGTATTATAATAGAATTAAGAGTTTAATATAGGACCAAAATTTCAACTCGGGATACGTACGGAATATGAGAGATTTAAATTCGCTGCAGCTTCAACAACACGCAGAGTTGCAAAGCCTAAAGAAACGTCAAAGTTTCAAAGCTACGAGCTTCTAC